CTATTTCATCCATTTGGGAAGTGAATCAGCTGATGGAAGATTTCTCTTTCTTTCTGTGCCTCTTCTTCTCCCCCGCTCCCCCCCCCATCAGCATCTCTGTCTTTCAAGTGAATAAATCTTTCTAAATTTCAGAAAAAATTTTGATGAACTCCCTAGCACATCTCTACACTTTTTTTCTCCTTTTCAAATCTGCTGCACACTGATTGCCCTTAGATGTGATAAGAACTTAAATTTAATGTTTGGGAGAGTGTCAATTTCATGCCTTACGTGTAATGTTTTGAAACTTTCTAAGACTTTGTCAAATGTGGAAAATTCAAAACTTTAAATTTAAGAAGTCATACTTTCAGACTTTTACATTTTTTTCAAAAAGGATTATTTGAAAGGCAGAATAAGGATTATTTGAAAGGCAGAATAACAGAGAGACACAGAGAGAGAGAGACAGAAAGAGAGAGATCCTCCATTTGCTATGTACTCCCCAAACGGCTGCAATGGGCAGAGCTGGGCTGGTGGAGCCAGAAGCTACTTCCAGGTCTCCCACGTGAATTCAGCAGCCCCAAGGACTTGGACCATCTTCTGCTGCCTTTCCAGACATGTTAGCAGAGAGATGGATGGAGAGCAGAACAAGCCAGCATTCAGACATGTGTGTTACCAGCTGCTGCCCAATTCTCTGCTCCACCACGCTGGCCCCAAGAAATAGAAGTTAAGATAATCATGGTAAGATTAGACTTTAAAGAATAAAATTATGACTCACAGTAACTCCTGCAGGCCGTGCAAATGAGAGGTCTGGGTTAGCAGGGTGGCATGTAACCTCATCCTCTAGCGTCCCCGACAGTTCCTGTAGGCTGCTTTCCTCTCCACGCTTGCACAGCAGAGGCCTCTCAGGTCTGCAGAGCATCCAGCGTGAGCCATAAGCCTTTTCCAAGAGTCTTGGGAGAACGGACGCCCTGCTCTTGGCCAATGCCCAGTCGGGCGACAGGCGAAGTCTGCAATGTGCACAGCTGGCCACCAGAGGGAGACATTCCCCTCCGGCCTCCTGGGAGAGCTGCAAAGGGCTCCATGCACCCCAGGGACATAGCCATCTGGTTACAGGACCATGCAAGCTTAGTCTGTCGCGTTCCCGTGGGTCTCCCCTACTGGGCCAAGGTGGATCTGAAGGGGCCAGTCTGGAAAGAACGGGAAAATGAGGAAAAGAAGAGGGAGGAAGGAAAGAGGAAAGTGGGAGGGGAGAGTGCAGGGAAGAGAAGAGGCATGGGGTCAGAGAGATGTCCTGCAAGTGGCTCAAAGCCTGGTTGGGGGGGCTCAGAGCCTCGGTTGAAGTCTTAAGGTTCAGGATGGAGGTGCCGGTCAGCGCCTGCTCGCCAACCTCACTTCTGCGCCTTGCAGCTTGGAGCCACGTGGGGATTTTAAGAATCTACCTGTCTCAAAACTTAACATCTGAAGGTCAACTCCGACTTCTGCAACCATTGTTTGGTAGACAACACAACACAGAAATCCCAGTGCTGGAGAGGTCGGACACCAGGAGACACCAAGGAGAGAAGTGGTTTGTGGGTAAATTCTCTGTCATTGGAGTTGCAGTCTTGAAAGAAGAGCTCATTCAAGACTTTTCAGGTAGAAAGCATCCCTGTGTATTTCATGAGGTCAGCACTACCCTCACACAAAAATATGCCAAGGATTACGCAGGCAAATATGCTTTAGTGAACCAAATTAAAGTCGAAAGGCAGATGTCAAAACTGAATTTGATTATCAGCTAATGGAATCAAGAGGCATGTTGAAAGAATAATGGCAAAGAATGCATAGAAAAAGGTGTCAGACACAGCTAATGTCTTAATTATTATCAACAAATTTAATCTTCACTACAATCTGTGATTAAGGTATTTATTTGTTACATTTTTATTTTGAATCATTCAATTTTGTGGTACAATTTTGTATAGACTGGGATTCCTTCATCAAACCCTCACTCCCTGACAGATTTTCTCCACGTAAGGAGGGAATACGTGGGTCCTTGGGGATTTGCCACAGAGGTTAGGCTACACTGCCTGGGGTGCCCATACTGGCTAGCAGGGCTTTGAGTCACGGCTTCATGGGCAATTCCAGGTGTTTGCTGCCATGCACCCTCAGAGGCAACAGGGGATGATTCAAGCCCTTGGGTTGCTGCCACGTGGGTGGGAGGCCCAGGTTGGGTTCTTGTGTCCCAGCTGCATCCTGGCACACTCGGGCTGTAGTGGGTATGTGGAGTGTGGGCACTCTCTGTTGTGTGTATCTTCCTGTCCAGCTTTCAAATCAATAAAGTTAAATCAACAATAACATGCAACCAAGGAGATTCCTGGTCACTGCAAGGCTCTTGCATAAGGACAGAGGTAACAAATCCCAGAGAGAGCTCTGGGCCAGGCCTCTGGAGTCTGCTTTTGCCTGGCCTTTCCAGGAAGAGAGGCAGCTGCCAGAGCTTTGTCTCTGGGGCTTTTCCTGTGAGCAAACTCCACAAACCACAGAAGAGGTCAAGCAATGGTGTTCTTAAGCTGCAAAAACCACTGACACAGTCTAATCGAGCATGTCTGTTTATTGTAATGCAAGCACAAACTCACTTAGACTAAGAAAGCAGAAGGCAGAAGGGTGTTTCCTGACAGTCCTCGCACCCAACAATGACACTGTAATTGGCTAGAAGGTATGTCTATCTCTCTGGACTGTCCAATCAAGTCACAGGTCATATACAACAAGCATTGATAAAGCTATGCCTCAGTTCACATTCACCACTTGTGGTTGGCAGGTAGCCTGTGAGTCACATTTAATTTCTCAGAGTTGCTTATTAAGGAAGTCCCAGTACTGTTTGTTCTAGGACAGAGAAGAGAGACTTGGGGGAGGCCACTGTGCATGCCTGTGTAACCAGTAACTAGCCATGCCCATTGTCATGGAGTTGCCCCAAGGACCCGGGGTGCCATGTGCCTGTAACCTCCCATATAGACTAAGAAGGCAGAGATCCAGGGAAAATCTCCCACAGCTGTTGTAGCAGCAAGTGAAGCAGAAGCTGCATTGTGTCATGGCAGCAATGTAGGATCAGTGTGAACAGGAGCTCCAGGCTTAGCTGCTGTGGGACCCTGTGTGTGGACAGGAACTGCTTGAGACAGGTCGCATGGCTGCCTCCTGAGCTTCCACCTTCCTTCTCTCTGGCGACCACTGATGCCCTTGGCTTCATGGTGCTTTCACTGGTTAGGGGTCAGGCTTCAATCAGGAACAGATAGAAAGGGCAGGGAGAGAGAGAGTGCACCAGTGTAGACTCAGGGCTCTGCAAGGTGACACTCAGGCTGTGTGAGCCCTGTGCTGTTGAGAGACAAATTTTTGAGCCAAAGGGAGCAGCAAGGAGAAGGGCCCAGAGACAGGCTTATCCATAGAGAAAGGAGGAAAGCTGTGTGCATGACTAACTCAGGGGTAAGAGGAACATATGGGAGTGAAGATTGAGTGACATTCGAAGTGTGGAACCCGTCAGCCGGGAGCTGCTGTGTCTGTCTGATCTCTGGCCATTCCCGGGGACCTGCATGTTACTGTCCTCCAGGTGATCAACCAAGGTTTGTCTATGCTTCTCAGAACTCATGAGCTTTTAGAAACCAGTGTAACAACGTTTCTGAAATGTTAACTTGTAAGCACAACAGCTGGTTCCCTGTGGTCCATTTCCAGGCACAGAGAGATTTTTTCCAGTGACGTTTCCTCTGGATCAGAACATCAAATGGCAAACCCTCTAAGCCAAGGAGAGTGCTTTGGGATGTCCCGGTTTAATATTTCCTCTGGGAGTTTATTTGACATTTATCTTTCTTGCAACAAGGCTTAAATCACTCAGGATATTTAAAGAACAGTAACCTGACTGCTTAAAAGTAACTTGGACCTCACACAGTCATATGACTGAATGCCCATCTTCAGGGCATTCTCAGGGGTTTAGTGTGACGAATATGGTTATTTGGGGGAAACACAGACCACGTAATCACAGTAAATAGAATTGGGAGTAAAGGGCTGCCTGGGACAGGCATAAGTCAGAGGTCATGCCGTGGCTTGACTCGTGTGTCACCTAGGAGAGGGCCTGTGTTTGAGTCCTGGCTGTGTGTTGTGTTCCTGCTTCCTGCTAATGCGCTCCTTGGGATGCAGTGGTGATGGTCCAGTGGCATGGGTCACTGCCAGTTACATGGGCCCTCAAGGTTGGTTCTGGGCTCTTGGCTTCATCCTGGCCTAGTCCTGCTATTGCAGGCATTTGGGGAGAAATTATGGAGGATATGGAAGATTCTTTTCTCTCTCTGTCTCTTTCTCCCCTGTCCTCACTGCCACTGAAAAAAAACAAAAACAAACAAACAAAAAAAGATTTAAAAATTCTCTGCAGGTCCCAATGGAATGTGCATCAGGGCATGCCATCCACTGCTCCTATTCCATTGAGGAGGATCAGTTCTTGCAGGTCTAACCAAGGGTCTGGGCTAGGTGACCAAGGCACCTCTCAATTCACCCCCACAATCCCTGTCTCCAGGGTTCACAACTTGGCACGTAACATGTGGATGGGCCAAGGACCAAAATAGGAGGCCTAGGCCGCACTGGATTTCCTCCAGCTCTACCACATGGATGTAAGGCCACGAAATACTTGACCATGGTCTATACACTCACAGGTGCATTAACAGAGTGCTATATTGGAGGTAGAGCAGGAAGGTCACAAACCACTGTCCAATGGGGTGCCCTAGACAGAAATTCACCACAAAAGAGCTAAAAGAGGGCAATGAAACCAGAGGCAGATTTCACACAACCATGTCCTATAATCTTGGGGTATGTATGAACCCAGAGCTTATGAGGCCACAAGAAATGGGGCAAATCACAGATCAAGACACACTCCCAGAGATCTGAGAGTGTGGATGAATGGGGACTGGGGAAGGGAGAATCCTGGGAGGTGGCAGAGGATGCATGGCCAAGGGAGTCAGTCATTCACCTCCATGAGCCCCACAGCCTCATGGCCACAGAGACAACGCACAACACTGCAAGGTGCATCGTTTATTGTGAGTGTAGAGGGAGATCATGCTCACATTCCTTAGGGTATGACAGAGAGAGTCAGAAATCCCCAAGGACTTTTGATTACAGAGGGAGTGCTGGCAATTAGGGACAATCCTGAGGATGTGTGGAGACCATCTTCACATGCAGCAGTAGGGACAGGAATCAGGCCCTAGAACTTGACCTGGAGGGATGTGATGGCCAGGATACAGAGAGGCAGGTGCTGAGGCGAGCAGGCAGTTACCTGGTGCATAATACACAGAGGGGAAAGAGGACACAAACATTTAATAAGTGTCTTCTGGGTGGAAAGGTGGAGAGCTGTGTCTCCTGTGAATGTTCTAACTTAGCTTGTTTTCAGGAAAATAGGGGGCTGAAGAGTGCTGAGTAAATGATTCCCCTCTCCTGACTGAGGCCTTCTGAAATTTTCCAAACTGACTTTTTTTTTTTTTTAGAAAAAGAGCCCCAGAGAGAAAGAAATCCCACAGTGGGTTCTGTTAACTCCAGCCAAAGATATGTTCTAGAAGTTTGTGGGAAGTTGAGGAGCTTAACACAGGCCGGCTACCTTAGGTAAGTGACAGCTTTATGCAAGTCCTGCAGGGGAATACCGATTTCACCTGAATGAAGCCCTGTGACTGACCTGAGGCAGGAAACAGATGGGGAAACCGGAAGTCTGTTTTCCAAGTTGGAGGCCAAAGGGGAGGTCAGACAGGGCTGTTCCCAGATTGGAGAGCAGCAGCGTGAGAGCCACTGTAGCCGAGCTTGGAGGTCGAGCTGACCTCCTGGGTGGGAACATGGCCCCTTGACACAGACAGGCATCTCATCCTCACACCACCCTCCGCCCCACTAGGCTTTCCATCCCAAACCATATTTCTGAGAGGTTCTCAGGCCTGTGCCTCTGTCCCCTTGCCAGGCTGCCACACAGTGAGTCTGTAATTTCAGCATCACTATCTCCTCTTCATTGCTGCTAGGGCCAGGGAAGCTGTTTCCTGCCCAGGACCATCCTGATGTTTCTCATGTAGCTCACAGACCATGGTAAGTGATCAGCTTAAAACTGAGCCTGCTTTAGCTAGAGAGATGCACTCCAAAGCCTCGCCATTGTGTGTCTTGGCAGCGCCAGGACAAATGGGTTCATGTGCCTGGCCAACACATCCCCTAACCCATATGAAACTGGGATTCTGAGCCCAGGATCTCTAACTCCAAATATAAACCTCTTCCCACAATTTCCCATTTCCCCACCTGACACCCCACGTTTCCTTCCCAATAATCTGAGGACAAAGCCCAGATCTTCCCACAAGGTGTTGACCCACCCCTTCTCTCCAGCTCCTCTCAGAGCTCACCAACCTGAGGGCTTAGGCCTATGCCTGGTCTCGGGCTTGGAGGCAGCGATCTGCAGAGGAGGAACAGAACATGTTAAGGCACCAAACCCCAGTTCATGAGCCAGGAAGGAAGCAGCTGACTCACCAGCCTAGGAACAAGGGGACTGGCTATGGGTGAACTAACTCCATTTCCGTGGATTTCTCCTCTGTTCCATGATCATTTGTAAGAGAAAGAGAAGACTGAACTTACCAGTCTTGGTTAGGTCCAGTATGTTTTTCTTCACGATTCCATGTTTTTGACACAGTCTCACAAACTTTTTCCTGATTTCTGAGCTCACATCAGGTCTTCGGCCTGTAAGAAGAGTGAGAGTCATGGCTGGGTCTTGTATGCTGAGTTGTGGAAGTGAATGAGGAGAGAAGGGTCCCCCAATGGAGGGGAAAAGAAATGGCACCATGTGGGGCTCAGGTTGAAGTCAGGTGGTGGGAGGTATATGACACCAGCAGGACATGTTTGGGGCTCAATGCCAGACTTCAGAATTCCCCCACCTGCAGGTTAACCAGGATGAGCATTGGTGTTCACAGTGAGGAGAATGTCAGGGGATGAGATAAACTTGAGTGCAGGATTTCTTCCTTCCACCCTGCCAGCCCTCCCCCCTCCAAGATGGGAGCTGGTGTGAAAAGACCCTACCATAGAGTTCCATCACTTGGGTGCTTTCTCCGTTGTTTTCATTCTTGAGATGGAATATGACATACTCATCAGAGACCATGTCAATGATGTGAAAGACATTGTGTCCATCATCTGTGGGCAGAAGAACAAGACTCAGAACTTGTTTGACCAAGAAGGAGGCCATTGACATCCTTTGCCTGGTCTCTTATACATCACAAAATCAAGGAGGAAGTCGGTTAGTAATGCACCTCCCTGGACTACAAGAGGTGGTGTCTATGGAAAGGGATGCTGCTAGGTTGGCCTCCAGTGGTACAAACAAGCAGCCATAGCAGCCGCTCACCCTGGTCTTCTCTGAGACCTGCCCACCTCCCTCAGCAGCTCTCCAGGATGTGCCTCTGACCTCCTCCTAATTCTCACTGACATCACACACTGGGGCCGCATCCTGAGAAGGTTGTCACGGTAGTGAGCACCAGCCCTACTCAGAAAGGCATAGGAAAAAGGAGCTGTCCTGCCCCTTTGCTGTTATTCTGAGACTTCACTTGCATGGCAAGCAGCATATGAGATCATGTCACCTTCTTTCTCATCTGACAGTGTTGTGTGCCAAGCATTTGCTTGGACCTGTAATTCTCTCCCACAGTGAAGACACTAGGATGTTGACTCTTAAATGTTCCCATGATGGGACCTAAATCATCATTGACAAATGCTATGAAGTATCAGGGACTTGGTAAGACACACCTTGTAGTCAAAAGCAGAATTGAGGAAGCCTTTTGGGGTATACTTACACTCAACAGAATATACTCCTTCCTTCTCTGTTGGATCACACACAAGGACTACTTCAGCACATTGTCCGTTTTCACTGGAAAAGAGTGTAAATGGATGACCAAGGGATAATAACAAGACTGAGTCCCTCACCTTCTGCCCTCCTTCCCACTCCAGTTTCTTATTCTACTTGTGAATATTTTTGGCACAGTGATCAAAGAGCTTTTACTGACAGGATTGCCTTTGATCTGATACTTGGGGAAGAGCTCACACAACCAGTTCATCATTGCTATTATCACCACTCACCACTGTTGTTACTATTGTAAGATCCCTAGTAGTCAGGAGAGCAGACTGAGTGTTCACCACATGCTCCTTTCTAAAATAAGTGCTTTTCAAGTGCTACCAGGTGAGGTCCTCACAAAAACAAAATACAGAAAACAAAAACAAAATTCAGATAAAGACCTGACCCCATCTCATTTCCCAAGGGAAAATGGATATAGAAAGACAGGAATGTTTTTTGGTCATGCAAGCTGTAGGTGATGAATTAACAGTGAGGCTGCTGATGCCGTATCATGATGCTATATAATATCATCACACTATTTATGACTGATGTCCCTCTGCCACCTTCTCTTTCCACTTTGGTACATTAATTTCTGTCACAAACTCTGCCCTCTGAAACTTGAAAAGTCTTGAGGCCACAAAGTCCTGGATCAGTGCCAAATCCTCAGACTTTGGGTGCAGACTCAGTGTGTGTGTTCACACATAGCAGCATGTGCACATTGGCTTATGCGTCAGTGATACCAGGTTTCCACTCTCGTTCCATATTCAAAAAGGCCTCACTCACATTGCATGAAATACAAAGGACAGAGAAGAATTTTTCAAGACGTCGATGAGATTCACAAATAGCCTCATGCTTCCATTTTCTTCTATTATTTCCCTGTGGTCGGAGGCTATCAGAACAGAATACCATTTCCCAGAAACCTACAGTGAAGAAGGAAAAGGATTAGGTAAGAGAGCAGCAGAGGGTTTGCCACATGGACATTTCTGCACTTTAACCTGGGCTACGGCTCATAATGGTGATGTATTGATGGAATTAGAATTGTGGTCAATGGACACCACCTCTGTGGTGTGTCTCACCCATGGGAATGGAGATCACCAAACACAGTTTTTGAATGTGGTACAATAGCTACACATCTTTTTTGTTTCATATGTTAAGGACCCTCAGGTCCTCCAGTGGAACCTACCTGACTTCAGCGTCCTCCAGTGCAGGAGTGGCTGTTTGGCACTACAGTTGAGATATGGGCTGGGATGCCTACAGCCTATATTAAGACCCAGAAAAGTTCCCAATTTTAACTTCATGCTATTGTGCACACTGGGAAGCAACAGGTTGATATCTTGTATGGTTATGTCCCTGTGAGCCATGTGGAAGTCCTAAATTGAATTTGGGTTCCAGGCATGAGCCAATGTGGCAATTGGAGGAGTAAACCAATAGGTAGAGCTCCCTGTGGGTCCATCTGTCCCTTCGGGAAACAGATAAAAATGGGAATCCTCCACACCACCCATCACAGTCAGAAATTGCTGCACTTACCTCGGATACATCAGCAGCTGCTCCCTTTTGGGCACCGATCAGAGCCAATGCCACACACAGCCACAGCATCTTCATCTTGGGAGGAATCAGTATTGCTTCTTCTGTCGTGCCAGGACAGTCTCTTCCTACACTGTCTTTGCTTTACAGTTTGCATGCTTTTATACATTGTGGCAGGGTTATTTGTCTATGTGGCTTCATCTTCGCCCCTCCCCTCCAGGAAATGGCCTTTCCTGCTCTGGTGTGTTGCCTGGGATTCTTCCTGCCCATTTGAGACCTGGCCATCCCAACTCCTTAAGACGTAGTTAGTGACCTTCAAGTCTTCAAACATGTTTTCAAGGAGAACAGTGGAAGGGTAACAGCACTGCCATTGGGAAACACATTCAGCTATGGATCTTGCAGGGATAACAAAGCTCATTATGTATGGAAAGAGAGGATGGTGCATGTGGACAATGCCAATCTTCCCCCAACTATTTGTGGGAGTGGCGCTGGGCAAACTACCCAGGGTTTCCAAGTCCCCAACCCAACAAATACTCAAGGCAAAGTAACCATCACAAAGCACTGAAAGGGGTTGAACAAAGCTGCTCAGTACATTTTCATCTCTTTTTCTTACTCACTGAACTCAGTCCCCATGGCCTTCTTTGTCCCCACTTGAATGTGAAAGTATTGATCACACAGCATAATTCTCTGTCATGGTACACAAGAGCCCATCAATGCAAGATATGAGCCCTGAGTCTGGCGTTTGTCACAGTGGATAAAGCAGTTACTACCTGTGACACTGGTATCCTGTAGGGACTGTGTTTCAAGCCCTGGCTGCTCCTCTTCTGCTCCAGCATTTTGTCAATGGTCTGGGAAAACCAGGGCTTCTATACCTGCATGGCAAACAATGATGAAACTCTAGGCCAAGGTGGCAATGTGGGAGTGAATCAGTGAATGGAAGTTTCTTTTTCTCTCTCTTAATGTGTGTTCATCGCAGATACACAAACCAATACTTAACTGACTGTCACATAAATAAATTTTCAATGCTACTCTTCCTTCCTACAACCTGTGGTGAATTTGGAGAAATGTGTGATATACTCAGTGACAGTTGAAGTTGTTAGGCACAAAATGTGTGACATATCAGTAACAGTTGAAGTTGATAGGCACATGCAATGGCCCAACTTACTGGTGCTAAACCCCGACCATGGTAAAGGGAGTGATGAGAGATGATGACTGTGTAGAATGTGCTTAAGGGCACAGGCTTTGGAGTCCTGCAGGCCTGCTCCATTCCTGCTCCTATCAGTTTGAATCTTTGAGAACATATTTTACCTTCCTAGAGGATTCCTCTCCATTTTCTCTTCCTGAAGACAGTTATGTCTGCCGAGGAGGCTGCAGTAGGGATTCAATGGACTGATGAGCATAAGTGTCAGGCATATGTGGACCTGGTGGGATCACAGCCTGCTACTGGATGTGGTAGGACTTGGGAAGGCCTTGAGAGTGAGGGAGGGTGCAGAGGTGTGGAGTGTGTGTGTGTGAAGAGCCCTCTGAGTGAGAGCCATGTGGAGAGTCAGGGTCTGGTGTTTCCAGCAGGGCTGTTCAAAACTTCAGTCAACACTTGCCTTGTGTTAAACACCTTCTCCTAGTGTCTCCCACCCCAAGCCAGAAAGAAGCTGGTGTCATGGGAGGGGTTGTGCATAAGGCACTAAGCCTAGGAACTGTGGCCCCCTTACACAGCCATGCCACACCTTTGGTGGACACTCCCCAGTTCCTGCTCACCTGAGATCCAGTCACTGTTATTTTGGAGCCCATATTACTTTCCCCTCAGAGGCATCTGTGTGTTTTGCTGGCTTTGAGATGGAAGAACTGAGCTTGATATCTGGTGCAGAAGGCTGGGCGCCTTGAAGTTATTTTCTCCACTGATCCTGTCTCAGAACAGGTAGAAGCCTGTGAACCTCCCAGGGAACCCCACTCTTTCCAGGTTGTCATGCTGATGGGAGACTCAGCTACTACTTATGACATCCTACTGTCAACACTAACTCTGTGTTCATCAGGCACCATATTGAAACTTTTTGTTTCTGTTTTCATGTTCTCTTTTAGCAGGGATTGTTAGAAGAAATTTTACAGAAAATATTTGTAGGAATAGGTCTGCTCTCTTTGGAGAGGCATGTCTAATATCTATTGTTAGGTCATGGAAGTAAAGGGACAGCATAGGCCTGAAGTCTCTGACCAGAAGCCCGAGTTTAGATGATGCTCTCTACTATGAATTGAGCTGACTGTTCCTCATTCTGGATATTCATGTTCATTTCTAATCGAGTACATTTTGGTAATTGGCTTAACCATTTGCTGATGTCTGTCAACAATGGGATAGCCAGTCAAGGCCTCCAAAATATACAAGAGGCATGACTCAATATACCCAGGGGCTTGATGAAAGAAACCAGTATGAAACCAAAGCTGAACTAATAATCTGTCAATCAGGATTGATGCTTTGATTTATAATAGAATTCCTTTGAACATTATTCCAGGATTATATTTATGTATTTGTGGATGGAACTATGGGTGAGTAATCTGAAACCACTGTCATAATTTATAGAAGAGTGAAAAAGATTACCGTCAGGTGAAATATTGTGTTTTGTTTTGAGAGGTGTGGAAGAGGTAGACAGATGGGAGATGGAGGATTAAACAAAGCTTGACATTAACATCATGTGTACGTGGAACAAAGATTCAGTTCATGAATGTCCACTTAGCCAATATCTACAAGGAATAAACTTAATGTACATTGTGAGAGAGGTAGAAACGGACAACAATTGATTGTGGAGTAAGTTAGTCTGTGGTACAGAAATTTGCTTTAGGAGTTGGTGCTACTGGACTTAAAAAGAATAATGATTTGACCAAGTTTAGCTATCATTGTGATAAGCTTGCCCACGTGTTGTCTGTAGTTGGTACTTGGTGTGTTATAGAACAAATCATATGGTGACTGTGGCCTCCACATTCTCTGGGCAATGTAGGATTGGGTTTGAAATAAGACAAAAATGAACCAAAGAATGTGTTGAAAAGCAGAGGAGACAGTCTCAGTGTAGAATAGGAATTAAAAAAAAGAAGAAGAAAGAAGTATAATTTGACTACCACTTGATTGCAGGAAGCTTTCCTCCTGGAAGAGCAGAGTTTAACCTAAGTAGTGCAAATTTATGAAGTGGGATCAGGACAGAAACAAGCTCCAAAGGCCTCTGTACTTCTTGTGACCTAGTAGAAAGGGAAGTGGGTTCTCCAGGGAGTAAGGCTTACTTCTGTGGAAGCAAGGGGTAGCACTTGGGGGAGGCAGCCTTTGAGTTGGACATTTTTCCCTGCATCCTGGAAACTGCCACCCCTTGCAGGAGCCAGCATGCCTAGGCTGCCCTGATAGGGATTCAGCTGCTTCCTCGGTCTCTGCAAGGGATGAAGTGATCAGAAGAGAGCAGTTTGAAAAGAAACAGAAATAGAGGATAAGAAGAGGGAGGAAGGAAATGAGTAAAGTAGGATGAAAGAGAGGAAATTTGGAGAAAGGAAGCAAAGAAGGGGAGAAGCAGAGATGTGGGAAATAATGAACATGCCCTCCTAAGTGACCCAAAGCCCTGTCTGGACCCATAGCTTGGGCTTATAGTTCTAGATTCCTGGGTGGAGATGCCAGCCACTGCCCACTTCCCTAACCTCAACCCAGTGCATTACAGCTTGGAGCCAGGTGAAGGTTGTGGGAATCTCCCACTTGGAGTGTTGGAAACCTAAAGTCCAACAGCAAGTCCAACTTGTGCAATCATTGTTTGGTAGACAATGCAACACAACACAACACAGAAATCCCAGCGCTGGAGAGGTAGGACTCCAGGGTATTGTTGGGATCTGTGCAATGTGTGCAGAGAACAGGAAGGTGTGAGGAGAGCAGCTCCGCTGTAGGCAAGGCACCAGGAGCTTTCTGCTGCTATAGCTCCACCTCCCTCCCCTTTGCATGGAAACTGGACTACCCTGCTGAGAATTCTGTATTCTGTGAGTTGATTTTTACAACCAATGTGAGCTTGGAAGTTGATAACCTCTTGGTAACTGGGGCCTTAGAACAATTCATACTGAATTAGCCGCCCCCATTGACCATATGGCTCCAAGAGCTCAAGAATGTTTACACTAACGTTGGAAAACATGCTAATCTAGGGTGTTTAGTCCCTGGGTGGAGTGGGAATCTATGTTTAGGGTTTTCTTTCCTTGATCTTTAGATCTCTACTTTGATTGCTATCCTCCCTTAACTGATATAAGGTTAAATTGTAGAATCAGGGTGGTAGTAGGAATGTGTTTCTGATTGATATATGCTGTCTATTGAAGAACTTCGTGATCGCAGGGTCTGGATGGATAACGATCTGCCTTGTGGTGCAACAAACAGCAGAAGTATCCTTGGAAACACCCACTTGTCCATGACATAAAAAGTTTGTGCCAGAGTTTGTGACTGCTTCTGTATAATTAAGGGGACAGCGTTCATGCATTATCCATTATGCTCCTGAAATTGTAGTGGTCTGTTCCTTTTCTCTTTACGCCTACTCCACACACTCTTCTGGAGTTCTGAACTCGGCTGAGCTGTCCTCCAGGAGACACCAAGGAGTGAAATGGTTTGTGGGTAAATTGTCATTGGAGTTGCAGTCTTAAAAGAAGAGCTCATTCAAGACTTTTCAGGTAGAAAGCATCCCTGTGTATTTCATGAGGTCAGCACTACCCTCACACAAAAATATGCCAAGGATTACGCAGGCAAATATGCTTTAGTGAACCAAATTAAAGTCGAAAGGCAGATGTCAAAACTGAATTTGATTATCAGCTAATGGAATCAAGAGGCATGTTGCAAGAATAATGGCAAAGAATGCATAGAAAAAGGTGTCAGACACAGCTAATGTCTTAATTATTATCAACAAATTTAATCTTCACTACAATCTGTGATTAAGGTATTTATTTGTGCCATTTTTATTTTGAATCATTCAATTTTGTGGTACAATTTTGTATAGACTGGGATTCCTTCATCAAACCCTCACTCCCTGACAGATTTTCTCCACGTAAGGAGGGAATACGTGGGTCCTTGGGGATTTGCCACAGTGGTTAGGCTACACTGCCTGGGGTGCCCATACTGGCTAGGAGGGCTTTGAGTCATGGCTTCATGGGCAATTCCAGGTTTTTGCTGCCATGTACCCTCAGAGGCAACAGGGGATGATTCAAGCCCTTGGGTTGCTGCCACGTAGGTGGGAGGCCCAGGTTGGGTTCTTGTGTCCCAGCTGCATCCTGGCACACTTGGGCTGTAGTGGGTATGTGGAGTGTGGGCACTCTCTGTTGTGTGTATCTTCCTGTCCAGCTTTCAAATCAATAAATGCATATCAAAGACATGTAACCAGGAGACACGCAAGTCACTGCAAGGTTCTTGCATACGGGCTTAGTTGAAAATCCCAGAGAAGGCTCTGGGCCAGGCCTCTGGAGCCTGCCTTCTCTTGGCCTTGTTGGGAGGGAGCTAGTGGGTGGAGCTCTTGGCATGGGGAAGTGAGACGGTGGTTGTGCCTGTGTCATGGCAGCCGTAATATATGATTGTTTGAAGTGAGCCGCAGGCCTGCCTCCTGAGGGAGCCTATGTAAACAGGAATTAGTTTGGGTTACGCATGGCTGCCTCCTGAGCTTCCACCTTCCATCTCTCTGGCGACCACTGATGCCCTTGGCTTCATGGTGCTTTCACTGGTTAGGGGTCAGGCTTCAATCAGGAACAGATAGAAAGGGCAGGGAGAGAGAGAGTGCACCAGTGTAGACTCAGGGCTCTGCAAGGTGACACTCAGGCTGTGTGAGCCCTGTGCTGTTGAGAGACAAATTTTTGAGCCAAAGGGAGCAGCAAGGAGAAGGGCCCAGAGACAGGCTTATCCATAGAGAAAGGAGGAAAGCTGTGTGCATGACTAACTCAGAGGTAAGAGGAACATATGTGAGTGAAGTTCGAGTGACATTCGAAGTGTGGAACCCGTCAGCCGGGAGCTGCTGTGTCTGTCTGATCTCTGGCCATTCCCGGGGACCTGCATGTTACTGTCCTCCAGGTGATCAACCAAGGTTTGTCTATGCTTCTCAGAACTCATGAGCTTTTAGAAACTAATGGGACAAAGTTTCTGAAATGTTAACTTGTAAGCACAACAGCTGGTTCCCTGTGGTCCATTTCCAGGCACAGAGAGATTTTTTCCAATGAAGTTTCTTCTGGATCAGAACATCAAATGGCAAACCCTCTAAGCCAAGGAGAGTGCTTTGGGATGTCCCGGTTTAATATTTCCTCTGGGAGTTTATTTGACATTTATCTTTCTTGCACCAAGGCTTAAATCACTCAGGATATTTAAAGAACAGTAACCTGACTGCTTAAAAGTAACTTGGGCCTCACACAGTCATATGACTGAATGCCCATCTTCAGGGCATTCTCAGGGGTTTAGTGTGACGAATATGGTTATTTGGGAGAAACACAGAACAAATAATCACAGTAAATAGAATTGGGAGTAAAGGGCTGCCTGGGACAGGCATAAGTCAGAGGTCATGCCGCGGCTTGACTCGTGTGTCACCTAGGAGAGGGCCTGTGTTTGAGTCCTGGCTGTGTGTTGTGTTCCTGCTTCCTGCTAATGCGCTCCCTGGGATGCAGTGGTGATGGTCCAGTGGCATGGGTCACTGCCAGTTACATGGGCCCTCAAGGTTGGTTCTGGGATCTTGGCTTCATCCTGGCCCAGTCCTGCTATTGCAGGCATTTGGGGAGAAATTATGGAGGATATGGAAGATTCTTTTCTCTCTCTGTCTCTTTCTCCCCTGTCCTCACTGCCACTGAAAAAAAACAAAAACAAACAAACAAAAAAAGATTTAAAAATTCTCTGCAGGTCCCAATGGAATGTGCATCAGGGCATGCCATCCACTGCTCCTATTCCATTGAGGAGGATCAGTTCTTGCAGGTCTAACCAAGGGTCTGGGCTAGGTGACCAAGGCACCTCTCAATTCACCCCCACAATCCCTGTCTCCAGGGTTCACAACTTGGCACGTAACATGTGGATGGGCCAAGGACCAAAATAGGAGGCCTAGGCCGCACTGGATTTCCTCCAGCTCTACCACATGGATGTAAGGCCACGAAATACTTGACCATGGTCTATACACTCACAGGTGCATTAACAGAGTGCTATATTGGAGGTAGAGCAGGAAGGTCACAAACCACTGTCCAATGGGGTGCCCTAGACAGAAATTCACCACAAAAGAGCTAAAAGAGGGCAATGAAACCAGAGGCAGATTTCACACAACCATGTCCTATAATCTTGGGGTATGTATGAACCCAGAGCTTATGAGGCCACAAGAAATGGGGCAAATCACAGATCAAGACACACTCCCAGAGATCTGAGAGTGTGGATGAATGGGGACTGGGGAAGGGAGAATCCTGGGAGGTGGCAGAGGATGCATGGCCAAGGGAGTCAGTCATTCACCTCCATGAGCCCCACGTCTCATGGCCACAGAGACAATGCACAACACTGCAAGGTGCATCGTTTATTGCGAGTGTAGAGGGAGATCATGCTCACATTCCTTAGGGTATGACAGAGAGAGTCAGAAATCCCCAAGGACTTTTGATTACAGAGGGAGTGCTGGCAGTTAGGGACAATCCTGAGGATGTGTGGAGACCATCTTCACATGCAGCAGTAGGGACAGGAATCAGGCCCTAGAACTTGACCTGGAGGGATGTGATGGCCAGGATACAGAGAGGCAGGTGCTGAGGCGAGCAGGCAGTTACCTGGTGCATAATACACAGAGGGGAAAGAGGACACAAACATTTAATAAGTGTCTTCTCGGAGGACAAGGTGGAGAGCTGTGTCTCCTGTGAATGTTCTAACTAAGTCGGGTTTTCAGGAACATAGGGGGGTGAAGAGTGCTGAGTAAATGATTCCCCTCCCCTGACTGAGGCCTCCTACATTGAAACAACTGACGACTCTAAAAAGAAGAGCCCCAGAGAGAAAGAAATCCCACAGTGGGTTCTGTTAACTCCAGCCAAAGATATGTTCTAGAAGTTTGTGGGAAGTTGAGGAGCTTAACACAGGCCGGCTACCTTAGGTAAGTGACAGCTTTATGCAAGTCCTGCAGGGGAATACCGATTTCACCTGAATGAAGCCCTGTGACTGACCTGAGGCAGGAAACAGATGGGGAAACCGGAAGTCTGTTTTCCAAGTTGGAGGCCAAAGGGAGGTCAGACAGGGCTGTTCCCAGATTGGAGAGCAGCAGCGTGAGAGCCACTGTAGCCGAGCTTGGAGGTCGAGCTGACCTCCTGGATGGGAACATGGCCCCTTGACACAGACAGGCATCTCATCCTCACACCACCCTCCGCCCCACTAGGCTTTCCATCCCAAACCATATTTCTGAGAGGTTCTCAGGCCTGTGCCTCTGTCCCCTTGCCAGGCTGCCACACAGTGAGTCTGTAATTTCAGCATCACTATCTCCTCTTCATTGCTGCTAGGGCCAGGGAAGCTGTTTCCTGCCCAGGACCATCCTGATGTTTCTCAGGTAGCTCACAGACCATGGTAAGTGATCAGCTTAAAACTGAGCCTGCCTTAGCTAGAGAGATGCACTCCAAAGGCTCGCCATCGTGTGTCTTGGCAGCGCCAGGACAAATGGGTTCATGTGCCTGGCCAACACATCCCCTAACCCATATGAAACTGGGATTCTGAGCCCAGGATCTCTAACTCCAAATATAAACCTCTTCCCACAATTTCCCATTTCCCCACCTGACACTCCAAGCTTCCTTCCCAATAATCTGAGGACAAAGCCCAGATCCTCCCACAAGGTGTTGACCCACCCCTTCTCTCCAGCTCCTCTCAGAGCTCACCAACCTGAGGGCTTAGGCCTATGCCTGGTCTCGGGCTTGGAGGCAGCGATCTGCAGAGGAGGAATAGAACATGTTAAGGCACCAAACCCCAGTTCATGAGCCAGGAAGGAAGCAGCTGACTTAGCAGCCTAGGAACAAGGGGACTGGCTGTGGGTGAACTAACTCCATTTCCGTGGATTTCTCCTCTGTGTTCCATGATCATTTGTAAGAGAAAGAGAAGACTGAACTTACCAGTCTTGGTTAGGTCCAGTATGTTTTCCTTCACGATTCCATGTTCTTGACACAGTCTCACAAACTTTTTCCTGACTGCTGAACTTACATCAGGTCTTCGGCCTGTAAGAAGAGTGAGAGTCATGGCTGGGTCTTGTATGCTGACTTGTGGAGGTGAATGAGGAGAGGAGGCCCCCAGTGGAGGGGAAAAGAAATGGCACCATGTGGGGCTCAGGTTGAAGTCAGGTGGTGGGAGGTATATGACACCAGCAGTACATGTTTGGGGCTCAATGCCAGACTTCAGAATTCCCCCACCTGCAGGTTAACCAGGGTGAGCATTGGTGTTCACAGTGGGGAGAATGTCAGGGGATGAGATAAACTTGAGTGCAGGGTTTCTTCCTTCCACCCTGCCAGCCCTCCCCCCTCCAAGATGGGAGCTGGTGTGAAAAGACCCTACCGTGGAGTTCCATCACTTGGGTGCTTTCTCCGTTGTTTTCATTCATGTCATAGAAAATGACATACTCATCAGAGACCATGTCAAGGATGCGAAGGACATTGTGTCCATCATCTGTGGGCAGAAGAACAAGACTCAGAACTTGTTTGACCAAGAAGGAGGCCATTGACATCCTTTGCCTGGTCTCTTCCACACAATAAAGTCAAGAAGGAAGAGAGGTTGATGAATGCACCTCCCTGGACTACAAGAGGTGGTGTCTGTGCTAGGTTGGCCTCCAGTGGTACAAACATGCAGCCACAGCAGCCGCTCACCCTGGTCTTCTCTGAGACCTGCCCACCTCCCTCAGCAGCTCTCCAGGATGTACCTCTGACCTCCTCCTAATTCTCACTGACATCACACGCTGAGGCCGCATCCTGAGAAGGTTGTAACGGTAGTGAGCACCAGCCCTACTCAGAAAGGCGTAGGAACAAGAAGCTGCCCTGCCCCTTTTCTGGTTTTCTTTTCATTATTTTTGTTATTATTACTATTGTATGATACAGTTCCATAGGCTCCTGGTATTTCACATATATCCTCCTCAAACCCCTTCACCTCGATCCTCTATATCAGTATTAAAATATAGTCAGTTCTTCATACACAGTCATATGTCCATCATTGTGGGCACGGGCAATGACAGAGTCTAGCATCATAGTGTCAAAATATAGTAAACAGTTTCATTGTAAGTCCATCTGGTTACAGATTCTTCTCCTTGGGGCAGGTTTCTAAGCTGTGTCACCCACAGGTCTACAGTTTGATTTGACTTATTGCCATTGGTATACAGTTGTTTGCTTGCAGCCAATTGTGCCACTATCTCCAGCAAGTTCCAGGTCTGGGTTCTTAGGTTAGATTTCCAGCATGGTCTCTGTAGCCCCAACTCTTGGCTCACCAGTCTCCACTTCCTGTGCTATCATGCTGAGGTTGCACTGTTGTCTCTGCCACCTTTTTTGCACTTTCAGTTGGAGCAGGTGGCAGGATTAGGGAGACAGCAGGTGTCCTATATAGCTAGGTTGTTTTTGGAGCTAATCTTGCTGGAACCTGGTGGACGTTAGGTCTGGGTGCCACATGGACTTATTTTGACCCAAATGATGCCACAGTCAGTATGATTTTCCTGCGGGACCAGTGCAATCCACGGAACTCAGTGAGTTATTGTGAGCTCAGCACATGTGCAGTTCAGTATTGTCCCCTACAGCCCTAAACTTTTGGCACAGTGTACAAAATGGACCCGACATGCCCCTACCAGAGTTCTTGATCTATTGACTGTCAGGTCTGAGGGCTACCCAGACGTGTCCAAGGAGGAACCTGCAGAATGCTGCGTTCAATGAGTCAAAAATGAATTCCCTGCCTGCTCAGCGCATGCTCAGTTGTTTCCCTTGCTTTTGCCTTTTTACGAAAATGGCGCCCAATTCTGCTCCTAGGGGGCTGACTGGGCTGTGAAATCCATGCTGTTCTTGCACTGCCCGTCTGGGATCTGCTGCTCTGTCTCTGCTTCTGGTCAGATCAAACGGACCAGCAGGACGGACAGTTCTTCGTCTGGGTTCACCTCCCAAGCTCCCAGTGAAAGTCTCTTCCCACCTGGTGGCTGGTGGAGTTCTGGCTGCTGGTGGAGTTCAGATTGCCGTTAGCTGAATGCCGCTGGAATATCAGTCACTGCAACACCACACTGTTGTGTCCACTGCTTTCCTGTGTCTGTCAGTCTCCAGGTACCACTCTGCTGTTGTTCTGTCCTCTCCTGTTTCCTGGAATGTGTGCTCTCTGCTTCATCCTGATTAAATGTTTCTCCATCTGTTTAAATGTGTCCTCTATGCCTCCATCTTGATTCTCCTGCTCCTTTTGCTCTTATTCTGAGACTTCACTTGCATGGCAGGGAGCACATGAGATCATGTCACCTTCTTTCTCATCTGACAGTGTTGTGTGCCAAGCATTTGCTTGGACCTGTAATTCTCTCCCACACTGAAGACACTAGGATGTTGACTCTTAGATGTCCCCAGGATGGGACCTAAATCATCATTGACAAATGCTATGAAGTATCAGGGACTTGGTAAGACAAACCTTGTGGTTAAAAGCAGAATTGAGAGAAGACTGTTTGGGGGTATACTTACACTCAACAGTATATACTCCTTCCTCCTCTGTTGGATCAGCCACTAACTCATGTGCAACACATTCTCCGTTGACACTGGAAAAGAGTGTAAGTGGATGACCAAGGGATAATAACAAGACTGAGTCCCTCACCTTCTGCCCTCCTTCCCACTCCAGTTTCTTATTCTACTTGTGAATATTTTTGGCACAGTGATCAAAGAGCTTTTACTGACAGGATTGCCTTTGATCTGATACTTGGGGAAGAGCTCACACAACCAGTTCATCATTGCTATTATCACCACTCACCACTGTTGTTACTATTGTAAGATCCCTAGTAGTCAGGAGAGCAGACTGAGTGTTCACCACATGCTCCTTTCTAAAATAAGTGCTTTTCAAGTGCTACCAGGTGAGGTCCTCACAAAAACAAAATACAGAAAACAAAAACAAAATTCAGATAAAGACCTGACCCCATCTCATTTCCCAAGGGAAAATGGACATAGAAAGACAGGAATGTTTTTTGGTCATGCAAGCTGTAGGTGATGAATTAACAGTGAGGCTGTTGATGCCGTATCATGATGCTATATAATATCATCACACTATTTATGACTGATGTCCCTCTGCCACCTTCTCTTTCCACTTTGGTACATTAATTTCTGTCACAAACTCTGCCCTCTGAAACTTGAAAAGTCTTGAGGCCACAAAGTCCTGGATCAGTGCCAAATCCTCAGACTTTGGGTGCAGACTCAGTGTGTGTGTTCACACAAAGCAGCATGTGCACACATGTATGCATGTGTGAACACATTGGCTTATGTGTCAGTGATACTCGGCTTCCACTTTCTCCTTCCTTACGCAAAAGAGTCTCACTTACATTGTATGGAATTTGCCAGACATAGATGAGTCCTGCAAGATATTGATGCGTTCTGCCAACACTCTCAAGCTTCCGTTTTCTTCTATTTTTTCCCTGTGGTCGGAGGCTATCAGAACAGAATACCATTTCCCAGAAACCTACAGTGAAGAAGGAAAAGGATTAGGTAAGAGAGCAGCAGAGGGTTTGCCACATGGACATTTCTGCACTTTAACCTGGGCTAGGGCTCATAATGGTGATGTATTGATGGAATTAGAATTGTGATCAATGGACACCACCTCTGTGGTGTGTCTCACCCATGGGAATGGAGATCACCAAACACAGTTTTTGAATGTGGTACATTCAAAAATCTTTTTAGTTTCATATGTTAAGGACCCTCGGGTCCTCCAGTGGAACCTACCTGACTTCAGCGTCCTCCAGTGCAGGAGTGGCTGTTTGGCACTACAGTTGAGATATGGGCTGGGATGCCTACAGCCCATAGAAGGACCCAGACAAGCTCCCAATTCTATGTTCCTCCTTCCCAATTCTATTGTGCACACTGGGAAGCAACAGGTTGATATCTTGTATAGTTATGTCCCTGTGAGCCATGTGGAAGTCCTAAATTGAATTTGGGTTCCAGGCATGAGCCAATGCGGGAATTGGAGGAGTAAACCAATAGGTAGAGCTCCCTGTGGGTCCATCTGTCTCTTAGGTAAACAGACAAAAATGGGGACTCCTCCACACCACCCATCACAGTCAGAAATTGCTGCACTTACCTCGGATACATCAGCAGCTGCTCCCTTTTGGGCACCGATCAGAACCAGTGCCACACACAGCCACGACTTCAGCTCGGTAGGGGTCATTATCACTTCTCTGTCGTGCCACAACCGTCTTTCCCTGCAGTGTCCTTGCTGTTCGGTTTGCCTGATTATATACCCTGTGGTCAGTTTGTTTGTCTATGGGGCTTCATCTTCGCCCCTCCCCTCCAGGAAATGGCCTTTCCTGCTCTGGTGTGTTGCCTGGGATTGTTCCTGCCCATTTGAGACCTGGCCATCCCATCTCCTTAAGATGTAGTTAGTGACCTTCAAGTCTTCAAACATGCTCTCAAGGAGAACAGTGGATGGCCAACAGCAATGCGATTGGGAAACAGATTCTGCTTTGTATCTTGCAGGGAATAACAAAGCTCATTATGTGTGGGAATAGAGGAAAATAACTGGGAAAAGGAGCATGTGGAGAATGCCAATTTTCCCCCATCTTTTTTTGTGCAGTGTAGTTGGGCAAACTACCCAGGGTTTCCAAGTCCACAACCCAACAAATACTCAAGGCAAAGTAACCATCACAAAGCACTGAAAGGGGTTGAACAAAGCTGCTCAGTATGTTTTCATCTCTTTTCCTTACTCACTGAACTCAGTCCCCATGGCCTTCTTTGTCCCCACTTGAATGTGAAAGTATTGATCACACAGCATAATTCTATGTCATTGTACACTAGACTTCATAGCTACAAGACATGATCAGTGGATTAGGTATTATTGTACAGTGGATAAAGCTACTACCTGTGACACTGGTATCCTGTAGGGACACCGTTTCAAGCTCTGGCTGCTATCTTCTGCTCCAGCATTTTGTCAATTGTCTGGGAAAACCAGGGCTTCTACACCTGCATGGCAAACAATGATGAAACTCTAGGCCAAGGTGGCAATGTGGGAGTGAATCAGTGAATAGAAGTTCCCTTTTTCTCTCACTCTTTATGTGTGTTCTTCGCAGATACACATACAAATACTTAACTGACTCTCACATAAATAAATTTTCAATGCTACTATCTCTTCCTTCATACAACCTGTGGTGAATTTGGAGAAATGTGTGATATACTCAGTAACAGTTGAAGCTGTTAGGCACAAAATATGTGACATATCAGTAACAGTTGAAGTTGATAGGCACATGCAATGGCCCAACTTACTGGTGCTAAACCCAGACCATGGTAAAGGGAGTGATGAGGGATGATGACTGTGTAGAATGTGCTTAAGGGCACAGGCTTTGGAGTCCTGCAGGCCTGCTCCATTCCTGCTCCTATTAGTTTGAAGCTTTGAGAACATATTTTACCTTCCTAGAGGATTCCTCTCCATTTTCTCTTCCTGAAGACAGTTATGTCTGCCGAGGAGGCTGCAGTAGGGATTCAATGGACTGATGAGCATAACACCCTCAGCATAAGTGTCAGGCAAATGTGGAGCTGGTGGGATCACAGCCTGCTACTGGATGTGGTAGGACTTGGGAAGGCCTTGAGAGTGAGGGAGGGTGCAGAGGTGTGGAGTGTGTGTGTGTGAAGAGCCCTCTGAGTGAGAGCCATGTGGAGAGTCAGGGTCTGGTGTTTCCAGCAGGGCTGTTCAAAACTTCAGTCAACACTTGCCTTGTGCTAAACACCTTCTCCTAGTGTCTCCCACCCCAAGCCAGAAAGAGGCTGGTGTCATGGGAGGGGTTGGGCATAAGGCACTAAGCCTAGGAACTGTGGCCCCCTTACACAGCCATGCCACACCTTTGGTGGACACTCCCCAGTTCCTGCTCACCTGAGATCCAGTCACTGTTATTTTGGAGCCCATATTACTTTCCCCTCAGAGGCATCTGTGTGTTTTGCTGGCTTTGAGATGGAAGAACTGAGCTTGATATCTGGTGCAGAAGGCTGGGTGCCTTGAAGTCATTTTCTCCACTGATCCTGTCTCAGAACAGGTAGAAGCCTGTGAACCTCCCAGGGAACCCCACTCTTTCCAGGTTGTCATGCTGATGGGAGACTCAGCTACTACTTATGACATCCTACTGTCAACACTAACTCTGTGTTCATCAGGCACCATATTGTAACTTTTGTTAGTCAGGCAAAATACACTGTGATGAGCCTAAATTACAAGTCAAAAGGCAGATGTCAAAATTGAATTTGATTATCAGCTAATGGAATCGAGATGTATGTTGGAAGAATGATGGAAAAGAATGCATGGAAAATGGTTTCTGACAACGCTAATGTCTAAGATCAATGAATTCAGACTTCACTACAATACCTGATTTGGGTCATCTTGATGTTCCAAATTTACAATGGAGAAGAAATATGTAGATTCTTGGGCATTAGGCCACAGTGGTTAGGCTACACTGCCTTGGGTGCCCATACTGGCTAGCAGGGCTTTGAGTCATGGCTTCATGGGCAATTCCAGGTTTTGGCTGCCATGCACCCTCAGAGGCAACAGGGGATGATTCAAGCCCTTGGGTTGCTGCCACGTGGGTGGGAGGCCCAGGTTGGGTTCTTGTGTCCCAGCTGCATCCTGGCACACTTGGGCTGTAGTGGGTATGTGGAGTGTGGGCACTCTCTGTTGTGTGTATCTTCCTGTCCAGCTTTCAAATCAATAAAGTTAAATCAACAATAACATGCAACCAAGGAGATTCCTGGTCACTGCAAGGCTCTTGCGTAAGGACAGAGGTAACAAATCCCAGAGAAGGCTATGGGCCAGGCCTCTGGAGCCTGCCTTCTCTTGGCCTTGTTGGAGGGGAGCTAGTGGGTGGAGCTCTTGGCATGGGGAAGTGAGACGGTGGTTGTGCCTGTGTCATGGCAGCCGTAATATATGATTGTTTGAAGTGAGCCGCAGGCCTGCCTCCTGAGGGAGCCTATGTGAACAGGAATTAGTTTGGGTTACGCATGGCTGCCTCCTGAGTTTCCACCTTCCATCTCTCTGGCGACCACTGATGCCCTTGGCTTCATGGTGCTTTCACTGGTTAGGGGTCAGGCTTCAATCAGGAACAGATAGAAAGGGCAGGGAGAGAGAGAGTGCACCAGTGTAGACTCAGGGCTCTGCAAGGTGACACTCAGGCTGTGTGGGCCCTGTGCTGTTTAGAGACAAATTTTTGAGCCAAAGGGAGCAGCAAGGAGAAGGGCCCAGAGACAGGCTTATCCATAGAGAAAGGAGGAAAGCTGTGTGCATGACTAACTCAGAGGTAAGAGGAACATATGTGAGTGAAGTTCGAGTGACATTCGAAGTGTGGAACCCGTCAGCCGGGAGCTGCTGTGTCTGTCTGATCTCTGGCCATTCCCGGGGACCTGCATGTTACTGTCCTCCAGGTGATCAACCAAGGTTTGTCTATGCTTCTCAGAACTCATGAGCTTTTAGAAACTAATGGGACAAAGTTTCTGAAATGTTAACTTGTAAGCACAACAGCTGGTTCCCTGTGGTCCATTTCCAGGCACAGAGAGATTTTTTCCAATGAAGTTTCTTCTGGATCAGAACATCAAATGGCAAACACTCTAAGCCAAGGAGAGTGCTTTGGGATGTCCCGGTTTAATATTTCCTCTGGGAGTTTATTTGACATTTATCTTTCTTGCACCAAGGCTTAAATCACTCAGGATATTTAAAGAACAGTAACCTGACTGCTTAAAAGTAACTTGGGCCTCACACAGTCATATGACTGAATGCCCATCTTCAGGGCATTCTCAGGGGTTTAGTGTGACGAATATGGTTATTTGGGAGAAACACAGAACAAATAATCACAGTAAATAGAATTGGGAGTAAAGGGCTGCCTGGGACGGGCATAAGTCAGAGGTCATGCCGCGGCTTGACTCGTGTGTCACCTAGGAGAGGGCCTGTGTTTGAGTCCTGGCTGTGTGTTGTGTTCCTGCTTCCTGCTAATGCGCTCCTTGGGATGCAGTGGTGATGGTCCAGTGGCATGGGTCACTGCCAGTTACATGGGCCCTCAAGGTTGGTTCTGGGCTCTTGGCTTCATCCTGGCCTAGTCCTGCTATTGCAGGCATTTGGGGAGAAAATATGGAGCATATGGAAGAGTCTCTCCCCTGCCCTCATGGCCATTCTGCAATCAATCAATCAATCAATCATTCATTCATTCAATCAATCAATCAAGCAAGCAATCAATACACTTAATGACACTCAAGCATTTTTTTGACAAGGACTAAATAGTAAGTATTTTAGACCTTTCAGGCCAAGTGTCCAAATTCATTAGAATTTTATACAATGATAGAGAAAACATATTTCCACATTTTCAGCTCAACTTGTATTTAAATCCTATCAATTCTACAGTGTTTTTTGAAGTGAGGTGTAGTAGTGAGAATGGAATTGTGTTTTTGAACTAACATTTGTCCCACTTGGGGTTGAAAGTTAGTGTTCTTGGTATCACAATGTGTTTGCCTCATGGACTACATAAAATGAAGAAATGGACTGGATTTCGCTGTAGGCCACAGTATTCCAATCCTTGGTATAGAGATAAGATTCTGTTGTTTAAAATCTTCTGTGTTTATAGGACACATCACTGACTTGTGGCAATGTACCTTGAGGGGACAGTGTACTAGCACCCCATTTGTAGTCCAAGCACCTTAAGTAGGATATGTCTACCTTGCCTCTTTTGTTTTTGCTTTGTTTTGCCACCCAATGTACTCCTGTACATTTTGACACTGCACACTCATTGCTATGATAATAAGTTGTTAAATGTCATGTGGTTGGGTCAACAGTAGTTACACCAATATTCTTGAGTCTTTTTAAAATTAATTATATTTATTTGGGTGATAGTTGATTATGGTGATAAGGGTCAAGGGCTACAAGAAGGTGGATGAAATCACCATTTCCACATTCTCTTTTTTCCCTCCTGTATCTGAGGATGTAAGGAAGACAAAAGGATAGGCCACACCAAGCCTCTCAAAGGCCTCTGCATCATGGGATGGAAGTCAGCCAACCGATACCACCTCAGGGTCCTCGATGTGTTGCATGCCTGAGAGTCCTGCTCAAGAGGTTTCAATTGTTCAACAGTTCTGAATTACCTCCAGTCTCGCCATTCTAAGCACAATGAAATTGCTCCAGGATCCACTGGTTGGCATAATCCACCCTAG